CAGGAATCACCAGTGGGTGCTGTGTCGGGGAGGTCTGGGGAGGGGCCCACACAGACTGCTTGTCAGCTTCGGTGGAAAAAACAGTAACTAAAGGTCAAGAAGCGCCACCTCCTTCCGAGGCACCGAGGCACTCGGGCCGGAGGCCAGGTGCAGGCAACTCCCTCTGGAATGGCTCAGGAAAGACTGCCTGTGGCTATGCACACGTGTGTAGCGTGTGCGTGCATGTGCACGGCGTGTGTGCACGTGGGCAAAGCACACGCAGTTCCCTGCATCGTCTTCAGTGCCTGAAGTCAGACATGTGTCAGGAACCCAGTAAACACTGTTCAGCAAAGTGGGAAAGTGCCCAAATCACTTAAACAAAACCCAGGTGAAAGCAGTCTCTGGAAGCATCACCTGAGATCAACAATAAGAAAACATTTACAATTTGATTCTCACTCGTTTTGAACGCGTTTATCTCCTAAAGCCTCATCTGAAATGGAAACGGCTGCCTGAGACCACAAAGGAGGCCCCGCCCACAGGGCTGGGTGCTGAGTTTCTGCAGTTACGCTGCCCCAGGGGGACGACCTTTCAGGGGCGGAGAGGCCACAGCCTGCTGCCCAAAAGCAGCTCCACCGGCAAGATCCACATCCCGCTGCCGTGCACAGCACTCGGTCTGGACGGTAAGCAGCATCCCACCCACCGTCACCCTGGCAGGGGTGCCAGGCCCCTCGTTCTCACACGCGGTGGGCAGCGTGGACGTGGGTGCCCCGGCCGTGGCTGTGGACGCGCCCCCGTGCGGGCACACCCGTGGTCCTCTGCGCGTTTCCCGTCTCGTCCCGCCGACGTTCCTGGAGGGCCTCTGGCTCCTCCTCAGGAAGGCCCGAGAAGTCTCTCCAGAAGCACCAGCTTGGTCTGCAGGTTCACGTCAAAGGGGGGCAGCCGGCTCAGGTTCAGGCTCAGCCCGGTTGTGCCTGGGATGCTGGCCAGCACCCGGTGCGTGTCCCGGTAGGGGGCCAGCTGCGCGGGGGTGGCCTCCACGAGGAGGTGCGTGTAGGCCAGCATGCGCTCGGAGCCGGGCTGCACGTCCTCTCTCTTCTCGTACCTGCAAACGAGAGCAAGGCTGTGCACCGCGGGGTCCGTGGCGGCCCCGGGCGCCCATGCACGAGATGAGGACGTACCTCCAGGCACTGTTGACTTCCAAAAACCGGGACACACCTGTCTGGGCAGCGGCCACATCGATGTGCACAACGACATCTGTGGAAACCGCGTCTGCTCGGTTAGCACTGCGAATCCGGCACCTCTGGCCAGAGCCACAGCCGGTAGCGGGGGGCCGGGCGCCTACCTGTGCGGGAGGGTACCAGCTCGTGCAGCCTCTGCATCGCCACGCCGCCAGGGTAGTTGAAGTGGGACACGTACAAGCCTGTGGCCGAGTATGTGGCGTTCACCACGAGGTGTCCTATCACGAGGAGGGACCCCACTTTACACAGCCAGGACTTCTTATAATTATTCAGCCTGTAAAAGAGCAGTGCACCTTGCGGAAAGGCAACGGCAGCAGCAGAGCAGAAACTATGGTTAGGAGCAGAAACCCGCCGCCCGCTGTCGCTGAGCGAGTCATCACCAAGCAGGCAGACGTGACACTGTCTCTCTGAAATTCCACCCAGATGCCAATTTAAAACTTAGATTACATTTTCAAGCATCCCACGTCATTACTTGGGTCACAGCATAGCCTCTGGGCCAAATACTGCGCTGCCTGTGTGTAGGTGAAGCGGATGGGATAAGGCCACAGTGCGCACGCAGGACCACGAAGCCCACGGAGCGAGGCACTCAGCATCTGTCCTTTACAGGCCAGTTGCGGGCCCTGTAGACTCGGGCTGGACCCTTGGCCAAAGCCTGGCCAGGTGCCCAGTTAAACACGTTGGTTTACCCTAAGCATCTTCCCCTTTGTGAGCCAGTAAACCGCCCCCAGGAAGCCCAGGCGGCAGCGTCTCGGTGGTGGCACTCACACACGGGCGCAGCCCCTGGCGGCCACGATATTGAGCATGGGGAAGGCATAGATGATGAAGCGCAGCTCCTTGTGCGGGAGAAGCGAGTACAGAGCCACGAAGCCCAGCGCCGGCAGGAGCAGCGCCAGGGTCCTTCTGTCCACGGCGCCCAGGGGCACGAAGAGCAGGCTGCAGCCCAGGCCGCGCGGCAGGGCCGAATAGAAGTACCAGAGCAGCGGCGAGGTCTGCGGCACGAGGGTTAAGGAGGCTCTGCGCCAGGAGGGTTAAGGAGGCTCTGCGCCAGCCACAGCTGTCCGGCCCCAGGCCGAGCTCAGGCGGGAGCCAGGAGCGTGCGGGAGATACAGCCCTGATGGCGGCCCTGCCTGCGACACCCGGGACCCCCGCGCCTCGGGCCGCGGCGTGGCCGCTTCAACACGCGGACAGAGGCCGGGACTCGGGTGTCGGTGCCAGGGCCAGGCCGCAGACGGCGAGTGGGGCTGTGCAGAGTTCTTTAACTTTTCCCTCCGTTTTTCACTGTAAAAACAGATTGTCCCAGAGTGATGGGCCCACTCGGGACTCAGTATTCTATTTGCGTGCATTTAACTACTCCAGAATAAAATGTGAAAAAAAAGCAGATCATCACGAGGACAAAGGAGACACCTCGGCTACAGACAACGGGTGGCAGCCACTGGACCAGGGGAGGCCCAGACTGCGGGGGAGAAGGCGCCAGCGCTGGCGCTGCAGCAGCCACCGTGCTCCATCAGGCACGGACACAGGAGGAGAGGGGCTCATCGCGCAGCCCCGCCCCGTGGGCCATCGCGCAGACACTGAAGGATACGCCCCAGTTGGAACTTTTGTTCAGGACGGTGTTGTACCAGAGCACCCTTCCTTCTGGCCACACAAGGTAGCGCCAAAAATAGGAGTCCACGGCCACCGTCAGTCCTAAGAAAAGAAGACCTCAGGAGAGAACACAGCCACCTGGGAAGCTCGGATCTCAACGCAGCTGGCGGAACGGCAGCTGTGGAGTCCCGGCCACAGGTAGATGTTCCCGAGATGCAGCCCCATCAGCACAGAAACCAGGAGCCACCAGCAGCTTCACGTAAAGGAGCTGAGGCGTCGGGACCTACCCCCGAACGAGCCTCTTCACACAGGTCCCTCGTGGCCGCCTGGCCTGGCTGAGACACACGAGGAGAACCCCTGATGGAGGCCCCGGGCAGCAGGGGGTGGGGGACCCTTGGGCAGAGCAGCCAGGGACCTGCACTGAGACGTTTTAACACCACTGAAGGTGATTTCATTTAACGAAAAACAAAAATAAGAAAACCTCCCGAGTTTCGTCTCCATAAAACAAGACAAAGAACGCACAGGCCCCCGACAGCACAGCCACGGTGACCCGACTCACCTAAGCAGAGGATCCCAGCCGGCACGGCGCAGCGCAGGGCCCAGGCCACTGAGACCTTCCGCAGGCAGAGCGGCAGCAGCAGTGCCAGGCCCAGGAGCAGGCTCAGCTCGGCTCTGAGGACCAGGATGGCGAAGGCCGAGAGCCGGACGAAGCGCGTCCACCTCTGCTGCAGCCAGGCTGCGAGGGCTGGCAGGACTGCAAGGCACAGGCCAAGAGGCAGGCCGCTTACTCCTTCCTCAGGAAAGCCACACAGAACCCTCCAGAAGACAGCCAGCACCTCTCAGAACCAGACCCGCCAACGCGGGCCCGAGGCTGCACCACGACAGCCCCCCCTGCCCGGCCTGTGTCCTGCGCTGCGACATAGCCCGAGCCACTGCCGCAGGCCAGACGGCCCCACGGCCCCAGACGGCCCCAGACACCGGCATCCACGTGGCTTCCCGCCTCCGCCGCAGCCTCGCGCTCGCACGGACAGCGCCAACCTCGGCTACCTCCTCCCCTCTCCTGCCAGCTGCCTCTCCCGCCCGGTCCCTGCAAGGTCCCTGCTCCCTGCACTCGGCCTCCCGAGGCTCCCAGAGCGTCCGCACCAGCCCCGCACGCGGCTTGCTATCCTCCCAGCTCCAGCTCCAGCCCTGATCAAGAGAAGCCAAGCCCTGGAAGCCGGGCCTCAGTCCAGCACCGAGGACAGGGCCCTGCTCCCCTCTCAGGGTTTCTGAGGTGCCTGGTGGGGAGCAGCTTTCGACGGGCAGACACCTCGGAGAGACCCCCCCGGGCAGGCCGGCCAGGTGGCTACATACCCACAGGCAGGGCCAGTACGTTGGGGAGTGTCCGCGTGCAGTAGAACATCAGGTGGAACTGCGAGGCCGTCACGCAGCAGAACAGGGTGGCCACCATGGCCCCAAACTGCCGCCTCACTTCTTTTTGTAAAGTCCAGAGTCCAAAGATCACGCAGAGTCCAAGGACGGCCCTGACTGAACAGAGAGGGTGCTGTGTGCGCGACAGCGGCGAGGTGGGGCCCTTAGCGACCACCGGCTCTCGAAATGGCCCTGAGGGAGGGGGGCTGCCTTCGGTACTAAAAACGGGCTGGGTGTACACGGCAGAACAGTACTCAGCCCCAGCGGAGGAAACCACGCCACTGCAGCAACGTGGAGGAACCCAGAGGTGATCAAACTAAGTGAAGTCAGTCAGAGAAGGACAAATATCACGTGGAATCACTTATGTGTGGAATCTAAAACGTGGCACAAATGAGTCTATATACAGAACAGAAAAAGACCCACAGACACAGAGAATAAACGTGTGGTTACCAAAGAGGAAGGAGAGGAATAAACTAGGAGTTTGGGGTCAACAGACACACCAGATAGGAAACAGGTAATTAACAAAGATACGCTGTATAACACACGGAACTGCATTCAGTATCTTATAATAAGCTATAATGAAAAGAATCTGAAAAATATACATGTAACTGAGTCACTTTGCTGTACATCTGCTACAATGCCATATTGTGAACCAACTACACTTCAATTAAAAAAAAATAGACACGTAAAACGAATGAAAGTAAAATATGTTAATTTAAAGTGACACTATAGGGCTTCCCTGGTGGCGCAGTGGTTGGGAGTCCGCCTGCCAATGCGGGGGACGCGGGTTCGTGCCCCGGTCCGGGAAGATCCCACACGCCACAGAGCGGCTGGGCCCGTGAGCCGTGGCCGCTGAGCCTGCGCGTCCGGAGCCTGTGCTCCGCAACGGGAGAGGCCACAGCAGTGAGAGGCCCGCGTACCGCAAAATAAATAAATAAATAAAGTGACAGTATATTTTTCACTGAAACTAGCATTAGGTGAATTTGTTCATTTTGTGTTTCACTCGCTATTAACTGAATTCTTTTAATTTTGAGTGTGGTGGGCCACATTTTGTGTCCTGTCACATTGTTTATTAAACTTTTGCAACTGTCCAAAGAACGAGCTGGCCGTGGAAGACGGACAGCCTAGACCCTGGCCCCCCGGATCCCAAGGCGGGGGCCTGCGGAACTCAGCTGCTGGGCAGGCCAGGAGCATCATCAGGACGACAGCCCGGCACTGACCCCAGCGGCCCCAGCACCTGGCCGATACCTCCAGAGCCACGTTTACCAAGGACCTGATGCTCCCGTCCAAGGCTTCCTGGCCACCCCCCACGTGACCACAACAGCCTAGAGCGAGGGTGGATTTCCGTTTCCTCATCTTTCAAGAAGCAGAACTGCCTCTTCGCCAGGAATGTGCAATTCTTAACGCTCTCCACACAGGCCGGACCAACCAGCCGTGAGACGTGTTTGACTCAGCTGGGAAATGTGCTGCTTCTGCTCGGGGGGCGGGGCTCGGCCCCCACTGCAGTCACGAGGGCACAGCCCGGCGGGGCTGACGCTGTCCCCGCTCTGAGTCCCTCTGCTGAGTGGCCAAGATTCCAACAGGCGGACCCTCCTGCACGAGGGACCCTCAACCCGGGTGACTGAGACCCTCTGACAACACTGCAGTTCTCCACCCCATCCCGTCTGAAGACCCCCTTACCTACTAGCTGAGAATAGAACTTGGACGTTTCCAAGAGCGAAAGCACATAAACGGCGGGGCTGGAGAGTGCCGCGATCACCAGCGGCCCGAGGAACGTCCTGGGGACCACGCCAGGGAACTCGAGGTGGTCAAACTGCGGGGAGAAGGGCAGGTGAGCGAGGCCCCCGGAAGCGGGGTCGACGCGCGGCTCGGCGGCAACTCGCCTTCTCCACATCCAGCCGGTGGTAGAGCAGGTCGTGCGCGGCCTGCAGGTTGAAGCTTTCCTCCACTTTGGTGTAGGGGCAGGCAGCCAGGTGGACGGCGGCTACCACCACCAGCAGCCCCAGGAGCCGGCGCCGCCTGCCCAGGCCCGACGGCCTCTTCCCGGCCATTCTACACGTCGGCCTCCCGGACCTTCACCCACCGTCGGCACCGCCACGCGAATCGTTTTGAGAGAATAGAGACGCAGGTCCCCAAGCTTCAAAACTCACGCTCGAGTTAACACCTGGGAAATGTGTTTGAAGGGTAATGGGAATCGTTTGAACTGCTGCAGCTTCCGTAATCTGAAAACACATCAAAATAGAACGCTGAAAGAAAAATCATGCTAGAGGAGCTTTCATCCTTTAACCAGCCTTCTTACGCTTTAAGCTGTGCAAATACTTTTCTAGGAAGAAAGACCTGAGTTGCAGAACCCGAGTTTAGTCCACTGTGCAGCCGGGCCCTGGGCCAGCCCGGCGCTGGAGGGCAGCAGGACGACCCCCGTGCTCGAGAAGCTGAAATCTGGCCGGAGAGTTAGGAACAAGCTGGGCTCGGCCTGCACGGCACTGGCCGAGGGAGATGGGCCGGGAGGCTGTGAAGCAGGAGAGTGGGAGGGGTGCGCCTGCAGGACTGCAGAGGGACAGGCACGAGGGGACAGGAGGTGAGGCGCAGGGCTCGGGGCGCCAGCGAAGCCCTGCACCCCAAGGATGGTGAGACAGGGCCGCGGACACCCACCGCTGTGTTCTGAACTTCACCCCCCAAGCCTCTTAGAGCCCTGGGGAGCACCACGCTGGTCGTGAGCACAAACACGTGGATATGGCAGAAAGCAAGAGTGTTCCTGGGGGTGGGGACGCAGACAGACGTGCCTGCAACGGACCACCCAAACACCAACAGGACTTTAGGGGGCACCCCATGGCACGAAGCTTCCTGAGAAAACCATGCAAGCGTCTGGGGCAGTTCCTACTCATGGAAGACCTCCATCTTTCAACCTGGCGAGGAAAGGAAGACGGCAAACTTCCTGTTTCTGGCTTGTCTGATCAAAACCAGAAGGGCAAGAAGTGAAAGGAGAGAACCACGGTGCTTACTGTTTGTTAAAAGTACTTTTTGGTTCGAGGGAGAGGTATGAAGTCTGTACTCTCCTAGGATAGCAAGTGGGGAATGAACAGCTGGGGGGAACAGGAATCCTGTCTGATATGGTGGTGCGGTGAGGGAAGTAAGGGGGTCAAAGGGCTCTTAAGAATTACCAAAATAACATGCAGTTCCCAGGGAAGTAACAGAACTTTTCTCTTACCAAATGTAAGGGCGGGATTTTTCTGTCCCCCGCTGCCCACTGTAACCTCAGCAAGGATGGACTCTGGTCATCACAGGGGGCATCTGTCTCCCCTGCTGGGCTCACAGCCTGAGGGCAGGGCTGACTCACTGCTGTATCAGCACAGCCTGGCGCATAGCAGGTGCTCAATAAACTACTTGAAGAAGAAATTCATAAAAACTAAGCGTGGATCTCATCACACCGGTTTACATTTTCATTAAAGAAACATTCACGCTTTAATTTCCGGTGAAGCCGAAGAGACCACGGAACGTTCATGTACTGCTCTCTGTTCCTCTTACTGTTCGAGGGGAAAAAGAGTGTAAGGAACTAGGAAGCATCTCTAAGGCCAGGCGGTTGGAGCAGCTGCGCAGGTGCTCCGTGGCAGGAACCTCGCTCGCTGCTCACAGCTGTCCCAGGCCAGTCCCTGCACACCCCACTCCACACCTCTGCCCAGAGGAGGTTCCCCTGAGGGAAGATCTAGACTCTGTTATTTCACGAGTTGTGGGGTGAAAAGGTACCTGCCAAACCCCGCTCTGCTCTTGTGCTGATGACCAACGGCAGAAACCAACCGGCAAAGCAGCTTATTTTGGAAGGCGCTAGCGGCACCCTGCATGCCCACCCGGCACCACGAGGAGACAAACCGGACATAAGCAAGTACGGAAACCATGGTCAACTCCCCACCGGGCCCGAGACGGTGAGCAGACGCACGTGCACTGGCCCACACCTGCTTGCAGCTGTTCGGGTTGTTAATCTGAGGCACCCACAGGCTAAAACAGGCCACGACTTTAAAACATGTCGTTTATAGGATGGTGATCCCTCAGATTAGGTGCAAAGGCCTTCTTGTCGCCGTCTATTCGGATTCTAAGGTCTCTACTGAAAATGGTCAAGTCAGATGTTCACGTTATTAATCCCTGGCTGGAAACACAAAGGAACTGGTACAAATTCGGCCAGAGAAAACTCTAGCATTTCTACGGCTTCCTTCTGGCAGTTCTGTCCTACTAGAAACCAGGTAATGCCCACCTTCGTTCTTCCTAACTTAAACCACGGGTTCCAGTGCCAATTGCCTCGGGCACGTGGGGAAATGCAGATGTCTGGAACCCCAGAAACACACTCATCAGGCCCCAGGCGAGGAGCCCCAACCCTAGGTGAGGAGACTGCCCCCAGGTGAGGAGCCCAACGGTCGTCCCGCGTGGACACGCACCGTGAGGCCCAAGGAGCACCGCGACAGCGCCGGCCCGGGGTCCCCGCAGCCCGTCCCGAGAGCCCCCGCCGCGCACGCTGACCTCGCCAGCCCACGCCGCGGTCCCTCGAAGCGCGTCCGCCTGGTAGGCCCTCAGCCGGAAGTTGGGTGGCGGAAACCGAGAATAGAGGCGACGCCCCTGCCCGAACCCAACATGGCCACTAAACCCCGGCTACCGTCGCGGCGGGCGCCCTCTCCGCCCGGAGTAAAGATGGCCTCCGCGGGCGGTGCAGGCGAGAGGCCGGCGCGAGGGGCGGGCTCGGATCTCCACGCCCCCTGTGCCCAACCTTCCCGGCGGGACGCTGACCCGGGGCCTTCCTATTGGTCGCCTCTCGTGGCGAGCCCGGATTGGGCCACATGGGGACGGGGTGGGCCCATCCGACCAATAGCGATGCGAGGGCCGGCGCGGGGCGGGGCCCCGGCCGGCGCCGTCAAGTAGCCCCGGGAACAGCCGGCGCTTCGGAGCCGGTGGGCG